AAAAATCATATAATTCTCAAATTTTAATGAAACCTTAAGGACTTATTCACAAACGGATGAAATTCTTTTTGAATTTTTTTTTTTTTTTTTTTAATATGTCTAGACTTGGCAACCAATCAAGAATGATAATTCTGAATTCAATACCAGTTGTGCATGTGGCTGACAACACCAATCCATAAAAAAAACTACTAGTCATGGGGGAGACTGCAGCCTATACTCCACAGGGGTCAAATGTCACTGAGGAGGAGGGAGATACATATCATTGTATGTAACTCATATATCTACACATGAATATACATTTGCAAATGTGCTCGTAAGTAAAAATGTATTTAAATTTTACTCTTTTCAAACATTGTAGAGAAAAATATTTATTCAAAAATCAAAGTGGTTAATGTTTCATACAAGAAGTGACTCATTTGTAAGCTGAAATAATGCTAAAATAACATGGTACGTACATTATAGAAGAATGTAATACACTATAGAAATTTCTCACCTGTAAACCGTGGTTCCAAAACAGCTTTCTTCTTTTTCTCAGGCTGTGCATCAGTTCCACTAACATCAGACTTTCTCTTGCCAACAGTTTCCATGAATTTAGAATGAACAGCAAGGTCTGTGTTGGTTTTCAACTTGTTCACACCTGCATCAAGGTTGGTGACCATTTCAGTAAATGCCAAGTTGATTTCTGACTTGTCAAGTTTACTTAATGCAGAGACCAAAGACTCACTTAAAGATGAGAGTTCAGCAACTTTGCCCTCAAACTTTGACATTAACTCTCCAAAAATCTTTGTCACTTCACAACTGGCATCTTTTGAATTCTTTTCTGGAAAAAAAAAAAAAAAAAAGGTCTTCATCAATTATTGGCTGTGCCATAGGATATTCCATAAGACATATGTAAACATAAATTTACATATTTATTATTAAAAGGAATTATTTATATGAATATATCCAGAGTGTGGTCTAAAACTTGTATGCATATACATATATCAGTAGCGACTCTAGGTCATCAATGTTTGTCGGGCTCATTACAATCTTTAACAAAATATACTACTGGTATAACTTAGATGCTAAAATTATTCCTTTACTCCAACTAAAATATGTCATTTTTTAAAATCCCTGTGCATGAAATAAAAAAAAAAAAAATTTAATATTTTAATATTAATTGTAATAATTCTTAAAAAAATTTTAAAATGATTGATTATGACCTTTTATCATTGATTGAAGCATCACATTAGATAGATAGTATCTTGACAAGTGCTAATAGTATATCATCTCTCATATTTCTGAATTCAATAGTTACTTAAAACATAATTTCACATTTTTTGGTAAAGAAATGAAAGCAAAAGTGGAATACACTAGCCAGATATGTTTTTTTTTTTTTAATAACATGTGTATCTATCCTAAGTATGAGTGTATATATATATATATATATATATATATATATATATCTCTGTGCATTGGTGTGTTTATGTATCTGTCTGTGAATATTTAGTTTAGTTTAATTTACATATATGATCAGTACTGCTAACTGATATACTTCCTCAACATTACCTCAGTCAACCCTCAATTGGACCTCCAGTTAAGGTTGCCACTTCCTTTAATCTTACCAACTTTAAGTCAGGCTAAATTTAATTTGCCCTTTTCTCAATTGATACATTGTGTCAAAAGACTTTGTAGGGAAGAAATTATTTAAAATGGACATTTGAAAACAATAAATTGAAATAAAAAATAAAAATGTATTCTTTGAAAAACAGAGCAGAAAAGTTAGATATTTTTAAAAGATTATTTATAAAATTAAAGCAAGAAATACATTGTCTATTAAGTATGTCTTCAGCTTGATCTATGCAGCCCAAGTAGCCACATTAATTATATTTCATTCCTTTTTCACTTTCTTTGAATTTTTTTCTTCTTCTTTATTATGAAAAATATCAACAAAAAAATGTATTTCGACCAATATTTTGAAGAATGGAGCTAAAACAATTTGTGATCCAGTTGAAGTCAAGAATGAAAATGACACACTACAAAAGATCTTTGTTGCTTTGAAATAAATATATTTGAATGTTGACTCACTCAGGCTGAGCCCAACAAGCCTGACCCTCAGAGTCACAACTGACATATTTTAATTAGTAATTGAGAGAAAGAGAATCAGAAATACTCATAGATTTTTCCCATAAAAGCTTGTGACTTGTTTTGATTATGTCTTGAATTTAGAGCAAACTACTTTCTGTAAGAAAGAGGAAAAAATGATAAATCATACATACAAGAGCAATTCTATACGTAACCTTTTACAACAAAGTAATAATTACTATGTTATCTCTAAAATGATATTCTAAAAGACATACACAAAATGTCCTATATGATATACAAATTCATTGGTTTACTATATTTCTTAAACACTTTTATAAAAAAAATGTCTACTAAAATTTGTTGCACATAAAGGTATTACATTTTTTTTGTTTTGACCCCTTTCTGCCATTTCACCTTCTCAGATTAACATTCTTGGCTGACAGGAAGTGGAAAGACTATTTGAATCCATTGCGTCAGTTGGTTCACTGTGTCATACAAGACAACTTTCCTTCCTGAATCTATCTTGCATATCTATAAGTCTACCATTCATCCATGCTTAGAATATTGCTGCTACATATGGTCTGGAGCTCCTGTTTTATATCTAGAGATTCTTGATACAATCTAAAGAACCAACAATATTATTGGTTCTGATCTGGCATTCAGTCACTTTCCCATTGCCATAAAGTTGTCTTCCTGTGCCTTTTCTATAAATATTAATTAAAGAGTAATTGTTCAGATGATCTCTGAACTATAGTACCTAGACTTTATGAATTTAAACATAGTACTAGACTGGCGACACACTCATCAATTTACAGTTGAAATGGCTAGATACAACCATAAATTCTTTGCTAACAGTTTCTTTTCTTGCACTTCTCACTTGTGGAGCTCTCTTGCAGCAACATGCTTTCCAGACAACTTTAATGTTCAAAAATTTAAATGTAATGTCAATCAATATCTACTGTCCTCCTGATTACACTTCCTTTGTTCCCACTCCTTAAAAAGGTTTCTGTTTTCTAATTTTTCCACACCCAGTAACCCCTTATGCCTAAGTGGAGAAAAAAAAGACAATTTTTCAAAGGTACTTTAGATTTTATTTTTTTTGTTTGAGATTAAAAACTACATTATCTATGTTACAAGCTAAAATAAGAGTGAAATATAAATTCATATATTCAGCAGTACTGTGACAAAAGTAAAAATAATCAGTCAATAAGAGATTGTAATAAAAGCTTAAAAGAGTCACTTAGTATTCATACAAAATAACAGATTGATTAATGGGGAAAAAAAAAGAATAAGTTTTATTTCCTCTTATAAAATAAAAAAGTAAATATTTGTCACTTAACCTGGATTTTAAAAAATGAAAAAATAATCAATTGTACATTGTTATACACATGAAGTGTGGCAAAATATCCCTGGAGATGTTTGTGCTATTTTTTTAAATTAATAAAAAAGCTTTAGAAATATAATAAAAATTTTTTTAAAAAAATGTATAACTGACTATTAATTTTCTTCTGCCATTAATTGAGGGCATATAATTATTTTTTTTCTTTTGTTTACCATAATTCAGGACTAAATATTTTGAAATTTATTAATCTCATACCTATAGCTACTTGTTTTTCAAAAAAATCTTTGCTCTATTATCTTTGTAATTATTTCAAATATTTTTTTAAATCAGATCATGCAAATATTTTAGTCAGTAGTCTGTGTGTTTTTATATAAAAAAAACATACACAACTTTAATTATAATTATATATGTGGAGTAGTGATAGTATTTGTATATTATTTCATGGTGGCATGAGGCATCATAGTTAAAATGAACAGTTGATTTACCCACACAAAGAAAATTAATAAAGGATGGTAATGACGAGGAAACATACAGGTAATTTTAACAAGATAAGGAATTTATTTATGAATTTACTTGCTTGAAGTTGTGTCAGTAAATTGTTTCAGAAAATAAATCAAAAATTTTTAAAGTCTGCAGTTTTAACAAATTATCATAAAGAGGAAATGTTCATACAACAGATTAAATGATCTAACACAAAATAATATTCAAAAATGTTTAAAACAGAGGTAAAATAATTTGTTGCTCACATAAGGGATATATGATTGCATGCATTCAAAAAGTAGATGAAGAGAGTTTGAAATACTTAGCTTTCTTGGATTGTGAAATAAAGTTCTTTCAAGTGTTATGTGCTTGGTTAAGGTCATTAATATAATGAGTAACTAATTTGAAATTGGCAAATAACTTCAACACTGAAGAACAGAAATGATAACTTTCATGTGACATCAGACTATTATTAATTTAATGTTTTTCCATTTATATCAAAAAGAATTTCACATAAGCTCACAGCTTTCTTTTCTTTTTTCTTGGCTCAACAGCTAATTTCTGTGGTTTTCATTGGTCCAAAGGAAATTTTACATGGGCTCACAAATTTCTTTCCTTCTTTTTCATCAGCTCATCCAAATTTAAAGGAGTGGGTAAAGGGAGTTATTATTTCATACTCACCATATGTTCCCTTTAAAAAAAAAAATCTATTTCTAAAATTCATACCAAAGTGGGAATTTTTTTTGTATTATTTCTGTTGTGTTCTCTTATTGTGTTGTTTAGAGGTCTGAATTTAAAACTGTGCTGCTCTTCTGTCAATACCCCAACCCAGCCATACAAGAAATATGACTAGCTAATGATCATAATGGATATGATCTACCCTGCCACCATTATTATGACTGAGCAGATTCTAAATCCACTATAACTTATTCTTAAAACCAAAACAAAAAGGTAGCCAATGTTGACATATAAATTGCAAGAGAAAACTATAAAGCCTGCTTATCATGTATCTATTATGACATTACATACTTGTAAACAAGTAAAACTTGTCTAACAAGATTTGTATGAAGTGAAATATAGTAAAAAATATCTTTAAAAAAATCATTTTTATTTTCAATAAACATGATTAGGCTGCACTCCTATGATTAAAAAAACGTCCACCGGCAATGTCACATTTTCGCCTGTCTGTTCAATTTTCATCAGTGATTACACTAGAATAAAGATATATATATTATTTTTATAGAAACAAATTAAATAAGATGCAGTGTGTGTGTGTGTGTGTGTGTGTGTGTTTTTTGTTTTGTTTACATTGAACAGGATATTATGCTGAGAGAAGAAATGTGAAACCTGGTGATAAAGAAATTATTTTCTTAACAGTTACACCATGAATTTGTTTTTTTGTAACAAATTATTTTGATTATTTTTTCAATTTAAATGATATGATTTTACTTTTTATAATAAAAAGGCAACAATTTCCAGTTACTACAGCTTTAGCAATGACAAATCTTAATCATAATCTTTTGATAAAATATGTTTGTTTCTTTTACAGCCTAGACTCATTTGTGGCCTTCTGTATATAGATGTTAGTAGAACAAGGAATCCAACTAAGAAATACAGGTGAAAGCTTATGAAAGGGTTTTCTGTAAAGATTTCTAGCTGAAAAGAGCCTTAATTCAATCAAATAGAGATCAATCTATTTAACAAAGATGTCTCAACTGATGGTTAAGACTACTAAATATGTGAAATTGTGAAATTTCCTGTTATTAGAAATTCTTAAAACAGCTCAGGCAAACCAAATGTTTCTTCATAAGAACTATGAGTGTTTATAATTTTTTGTCTTTTCAAGATATTAATCCAAATTTCAATATTACTTCCTCCTGCTCCAAATTCACTAAGCTTCTAAGATTTTTCCAGAGGCATGTCATACTGAATGCTACAAACTAAATTGTAGTTATGACCAAATTTAAAACTAGACAACACATTGTATCATTTCTATTATTATTTGAACTTGCTACATTTTTTTTTAATTTCACTCCATTCTGCAATAGAAAAGCTAAAACCAGTTAAATGCTGAGGAGCATAAAGTAAACAAAACATGATTATTTAAATGTTGTCTAATACTCAAGACCTACTTGTGAAAAGCATTTTTTGTTAATATCAGAAAAAAATTCAATACTAAAAATATTAGAGAGAATAGAGAACCAATCCTTTAATATGAAGGAAATGCTTTGTACTGTTGCAGCTGGCAAAGCAGGAACAGATTTTTATTCACAGCATTGACAATTGAAGAAAAACAATATATATGGTGGTAGAAAAGATTCACCAGTGGGGAGAGCTAGAATTTCATTACAATTGTTAGACATTTAAAATAAGGGATATAAAACAAAATGAAAAACATTTAAGAAATTACCCCTGAAATAGTATAATATCAATCAAATGTGAAAATCAATTTCCTGATAAAGACAATATATAACTGTGTCCACACCAGTCAGCTTCAAATTGTGGAAGTCAATTGATTCATGCTATATGTGGGATGACTGATAACCTAATGAACACGTTAAAATTATTTTTTTGCAATTACACAAAAGATCACAATCAAGAAGTAAAGATTCTTGCTGTCAAGTCAACCAAATGATGTTGCAAATTTGGCAATAAAAGTTCAATACCACACCAGTAAAAATAGAATGTGTGAAAGAGGGAAACATTCTGGGAAATAATTTCAGTAAAATATACAAAACATTGTTATGTTATGAATATAAAGATTGGAAAGCTGCAGTAGATTTGGAATAACAACTGATAAGTGTTTGAATATTGTCTTCTGGCCATTTAACTTTAATTCCTATTTTTAAATTACGTTTAAGGAAATTCTTGATGTAAGATGGAAAAGATGAAGCTAAATACAGAAAATATGAGTGGAAAACAAAAAAATGGAATTTCGAGGGTTTTATTGCTAACTGAACTTTGGTATACCTGTCTAAATTTGGTATGATTACTTTGGAAAAAGGAAACATAATAAAAGACCTTCAAGAAAGGGCAGAGTCAGTATCTGCATGAATCTGGCATTCTCATGTTGTAATAGAGAACTAACAGTCTGGTAATATCACATTATGTTACTTGAATAATAAAACCTGAAGTGCTGAAACTATACTTAATTAGTACAGTGATCATGTAACAAGGCTTTGTTAGAGGAACTATTATGGTTTTATCAGTAGTAGATGAATGAAATTATATATAACTGAAATGCCAAAAGTTTTATTTGTAACTCCACCCTTCAACAGCAGCTTTGTGACATAGCATAAGATCTGTGAGGTGCTATAGGTATGTTCCAGAGTTTCCTATAATGAAGTTGTTTTTATTGGGTGTGGCAGCAGGAAATTCAATGAGTTCTTCAATAGGGTTTAAATCTGGAAATTCAATGAATTCCTCAATAGAGTTTAAATGCCTTAACCAGGTATTGAACTCACACTCTTTGGGTCCTGTCACAGGATCTAACTAACGCCTTTATCCACTGTGCCATGTGTCCTCATACAATGACCAAAACGTTGTGATAAATATGGCAACAAAGATGAGGACAATAGTCCGAATAATGTAAAATAGTATACATAAAAACTTAATCTCAGAAATATAGACAGATGTCCTTGTCCCATTTTTGCATTATTTGTGGGTATCTGTAATTATTGTGTGCTACTGATGTCTATTTGGAACTCACTCATTTCTGGTAAAACCTTGCTCTTGCTGCCTAACAAAAATAGAGCAGTTGTCACCTTAGAGATAGTGTCCCATCTTTATAGGTCCCAACAATCTATGGTCAAATGATTCTATATCCTAACCATGCCCATGTTTGCCATACCTACTTTTACCTCTTATATCATTCATGTCATTAGGTTGAGTCTATTTTACAAGAGATAGAACATGAAACCATCCAGTATGACTAATTTATTTTAATTTGTATGAGAGAGAGAGAGAGAGAGAGAGAGATTCTATTGTAATATAACACTTTAATACAGGTCATCAAAGATGTGAAAAATGAAGATATTCATAAAATTGAAACAAATGTCATAAAATAAAAGATTTTACATGTATATAAAGTCACCTACAGGACTAGTGAGAATAAAATGCATGTTTGTGTGTACAACTTGTAACCTTTGCTTTCTCCTATCAAGTCCTTGAAACAGCAAAACCCTGATATTTGCTGAAAAAGAGAGCGAGAAAGAGAACAGACACAAAAAAATTGGAGATTTCTTCATTTCCAGGGTTTTTGTCTATGAAAGCTAATCATGAACTGAGCCTTGTTTTTGATTACACAAATATTTTTGTGTTTCATATACCATAAATGCTTATATGAAATGTATTTTTATTCTTAAATTAGAAATCCCTTTTCTTAATTACTGATTTGATCCTAAATAGTGGATGATGACTGTAAATTTGCAATAATGCATTACCCTTTATGTAGAATAATGAAATACAAAATATGACTTGCATATTTTTGTTACAATTGGATGAGAGGAATTTTAGATATATTAATATTTTACAACAAATGCATGAGAACAATAAAAATAATAATCCCTCAAGAATGTTTTAAAGAAAATTTTCTAACCTGCAGCATAATCATATCTCTCAAGGAAAAAAGAAAATAGCCAGAAACATAAGTAAAAATTATTTTACTTATTTATTTTATTCAGATTTATCATTTAATACTTCTTTATTCACTTTAATAATTTAATACTTCTTTATTCATTTTAATAGAGAAATAAATACACAGAAAATGTCAGATTTTAAAAGGTTATATTGTTGGTCAGTCCAAAAGTGGAATGATACCATCAAAATTGCGAATAAATGAAGAAACGAAAACCACTCTCATTCAAATCAAACTGAGCCATAAAAAGGATGTACCTTTATGCAAGGAGAGATGGAAGTAATTCACAAGTTTAAATTTAATATTAAACTTGTAAAACTCTTCTATAAAAATAGTCCATGATTAAGTACTATTATTTACATTATTCGGATTATTTTCCGCTGTATGGATGGTGGGAGTTGAAAAGAGCATAAAGAAAGGGATCATCCGTTGCTTACAACACCAAGCAAAAGTCATAAGTGGTGACCCAGAGATGTTAGATAAAGAATTGGTCAGTATAAGTAGTACCCTACAACATAACAACTACCCTGAGTACATGGCAGCAGCCCCCAAAAACTGGGATAGGCGGGTACAAGAGGAGGAGGACAACAACACTCAGAAAACAGTTTGCCTGCCTTATGTGAAGGGGTTATCAGAGAAAATACAAAGGATCTGCAGTTCATATAACATCAGGACAACCTTCAAAAAGCTTGACGACACTTTTGAGATATCTCTCCCAGTAAGACCCCCATAGAGGAGAACATGGCTAAAGACTGTGTGTATACGCTATCCCATGCAGCTGTGGAAAGAATATAAAGGAGAGACAGGCCGCCCCTCAAGGTAAGGCTTCAAGAACACCAGAAAGCTGTAACACGAGGGAAGTAGAAAAATCAGGCGTGGCTGACCACATATGGAGAGAGAAGGAGATCACCGCCCTCTGTGGGATCATGTTGAGATCATTGACAAAGAACACCATTGGAAAATTTGTAAACTTAAGAATCAGCACATATGCTAGGCCACAAAAATCTCCTGAGCTGACCAAGCATAGAAATAAATACAATATGGGAACCAGTAATAAAGAGTGCCAGAGAAAAGCAATGATAACAACAAAGTTGCTTTATGAGCTCTGGTAAAAACATGCAATAACAGCAAAAATTGCAATATGAGCACTGGTAAAAATGGTTGCTGAAGACATTAGGTTTATAATACCCAGAAAGTCATCAAGGACACATAGCACAGTGGATAAAGGTGTTGGTTAGATCCAGTGACAGGACCCAAAGAGTGTGAGTTCAATACTCGCGAAATAAAGGGTTCAGTTCGACATTCCAACCACCTGAAACTGACATCCATTCATACAACAATAACGTTTTATAAATATGGCAACAAAGATAAGGACAATAGTCTGAATAATGTAAATAATGTACATAATACCTCATCTCAGAAATATAGAAGAAGATTAAACTAATATGGAAAAGAATAAAGATTTTCAATAATATATGCATATTATTTGGAATGCACCTTTTGAGTCGGACAATCTTGAAAAATAGGAGGGGATGACATTCTGACTGATGATGAAAAGAGAAAGAAAGGTTATGAACTCTCGACTTAGATATTATTCTTACAACCATTGTAATTACATTATGCTAAAGTTCCTCCCAATCAACCATTCACACATTACAGGAATGGAATGATAAAGAATTTTACAAGAGAATTGAAGTATTTTTTTACCAGTTTTGAATATGGTTAAATACAAAATTTTCATAACTTTTCTTTGTATAATGTTGCTCTGAATCCTCAGTTGGGAATCAATGCACTCAGGAGCATTCATGTTTATACAGTGGATAACATGTTCTTGAAAGCCATTATCAGAGATTTTATGAAAAAAGTGTTCTATAAATCTCTCTAGGCCAACATATACTAAAAATAATTGCTAATGATCAGTGGTTAATATGTAAATCTCACAAGTTATTGCAAGTAAATTTTTTTCTAACTGGTTTCTCTATGATTATGGCTGCTATCTGCTTTTTTTTGTGTGTGTGTGTGTGTGTGTGTGTGTGTGTGTGTGTGTGTGTGTGTGTGTGTGTGTTAAACTTTAGATTAAATAAAGCACATTTAAAAGTAATATTAAGAGTTATTTGAAGATTGGCAATGTCAGAAATTTTTTTTTAAAAATCAGAAAATTAAATTTAACTTACCCATGGGGATCTCAGCAAAAGAATAAGCATCTTCTTCAGTAGCAAATTTCTTGAACTTTGCACCAGCATAACCATCTATCTGGTTTTGGCACTCAGCCCTGAGGTTTCAAAGAGAAAATAGCAACATCTTTATTCTAAATATTTAGCTATACATATGTAACATTAAAATGTTAACAATAGTCAAAAAACCTTTTCCTTTATACAATATAACAATTTCACTGTTTTTAAAACAACTTTAGCATTAAAGTTTAAAGAAAATAATCATGATCATGTTTTACTTGAACAGTTAATGAATTTTTTATAGGTATTTACTATTCTGGTAATATTTTTATATTACCAGAATAGTAAATAACTATAAAAAAATTCATTTAGCTGAATGCCTAAAATAAAAATTCAAAATATTCTTTAATGCTGAAATAATAAAATTCCCAAAGAAAAGAAACATTAAGCAAAAAAAAAAAAATCTTTACAACAAATTCTATGCAAATCCAAAACAAAAAATGAACAGGGTTAAAAAAAATAAATAACTCAATAAAAATATCTCATAAATTATGTTTAGTTTTTAATTTATATTAATAAACTTCTGAAGATGAGATCAAGAATTTCTTGTAATTTTTACAAGTTTATAAAAAGAAAATATTACATTTACTTTTACTTGTTTTAAATTAATTTAATGAGTTATAATAAATAACATATATATTATTTAATGAATTATGATAATATATATAAATGAAATATATTCATCATCTTCCTAGATGAGCAATGACCTAAAGGACCATGTGGACACAGTCAGCATTTGAGGGAGAACCATCACAAAACTCAGATTTGCTGATAACAGATGGACTAGCTGGGGAAAAGAGTGAACTGGCAAGCTTGGTCAGTCATGTTGACAAAGCCTCCACAAAGTTTGGGTTGGAAATTAGTGGAAAAAAAAAATACATGAAGCTCAAGACAAATGACTTTGGTTCCATCATGGCAGACATCTTAGTCCACGGCCAGAAACTTGAGACAGTGTAGCAGTTCACATACCTTGAGACAACCATCAGTGACCAAGGATCAAGACCAAAACTCCTTGCAAAAACTGCACAGACTAAGACTGCACTCTCTAAGCTGAAGACCATATGGAAGGGTAACACCATCTCCATTCATTACAAGATTAGTACCCTGTGTGCATGCAAGACACAGACACTCACTGCTGAGCTACAAAGAAAGATACAAGCACTGGAAAGGAGATGCTATCACACTATGCTTTGCATCTCATACCTTCAGCACATCACCAACGACCAAGTACACAGCAAAATTCAAGCATTGGGCCCCACAAAGATCTTCTCACTACAGTGAAGAAAAGGAAGCTGGCTATGTAACACAATCAGATGACCTGGCAAAGACAGTTGTTCAAGGAACATAGTGGAATGTAGAAGAGGAAGAAAGAAAAAGTAGAATGACTAATATCAAGGAGATCTAGGCTCTGGTACATGATTGATGGAGGAGACTGGTGGACAAATCTCAGTATGTCAAATTCCCCAAACTGACTCCTTCACAGTTATGACAAAAGCCAATTCAAATATAAGTAAAATATATATATATATAAATATATATATATATATATATATATATATATATATATATATATATATATATATTAGGGGTGCTGAAAAGTACATAGTCAAAAAAAAAAAAATCAACTAATGCTAATATACTACTTCAATGTAAATTTTACCTCCCAGTCATAAGCTCAAATTAAGGTTTGGTTCATTTAAATTTATATATCCATTTGCTTTCATGTGATAAAAACTAACAAAATGATGTTGGTTTTTATATAATAAAAAATTTTAATTTTTACTCATTAGATCCTCTTAAAAACTAAAAGTCCTGAAAATACACCCAGATTTAAGTTTGTATGTATTTATTCAGATTAATCATTCTGAATAAAAATCCATTCAGATTTCAATGAATTCATTAGGCACTGAAGAAAAATTCTTGAAGATGGTTATTAAATAAATGTTGACTACAATTATGTCTTTAAAAACATTATATATATATATATATATATACACACACACACAGATATGCAAACAAATATATTTGTGCATAACATCTGAATCTAAGCTTTAAAAGAATTAGAATAAAAGAATACAATAGCTAGAAATTACAGAAGAGATAATTCTGGAAAGATGTTGCATAACAGACCGGTATAAAATAAAGTACATATTCTATACATTTGTCCCAACTTATTGAGAGGGAACAAGAAAATATCCCAAGGCTAAGCAATTTTGTCCCCGTCCTAAATTTTAAACCCATTTTTCCTTTAAAAGATCAGTAGGCGCAAAAAAAAAAAAAAAAAAAAAAAAAACAAACACACACACACACAAACTTTACTTTCATCATGAACATACCAAACTTTTTTTTTTTTTTTTCAAGATTTATTAAAATGATCATAAAGAAAATATTTAATAAAGAAAAACATTAGCATTAGTTAGACATAAAAAAAAATTGTATTTTTTTTTTGTCAGGGAATAACTTTGTTTTTAAGAAATAAAATGTCAAAGGCAAAGTTCCAATATTTTTTAACTTGACAACAAAAGCATCATAAAAAATGAGTTCAAGAGTCCAAAACAATTCTTCATTTTAATAAAACAAAATCAGGGAAGAAATTAGGTAGTACTAGAGATATTTTTCAAATAAAGTCATTTAGTAAGTTTTTTTATACCACTAGAATTTTTTGCAACATACATGTTGAAATCCTCACAATATTTTGTATTGTTGAAGTTATTGCACACATTTTGTAGAGATTTACAAGCTATGTTTATTTCAATTTTGAAAACCAATCAATGAAAGTTGAATAAACTGTTTTGTTTGAAAAAATACTTTGACAAAATTCATACTTTTTTATGCACCCTAGTAAAAACAACTGTATTTTGTAGCTCCTTACCGGTTTACACTTTTCCCAAAAATTTGGTTTTGATCAGTCAGTGTATGGCTATTTTAGAGGGTGTAATGGACAGACTAACAGAAATTACAGACAGATAGATAGATAGATACTATTGTTGCTAAGTAAATTGCTTAACTTTTTTTATATGCTAAAATTTGCATTATTTATTTCTATAGGTTCGTCACTGTAGTGTAACAATTAACAAGTTGGGTTCACAAATTACTACTGAATGGCAAATTCAGTCCTCTCTGGCTGTTCTATGGAGGTGACTTTGTTTTAAAAAGAAACTTAAACTCATTAAATAACCACAACACATTCCTTTGTACTTTATAACAATTTTTACTATGAAGAGTTACACGGTACTAAAAACTTCTCCCAACCCACTTCACAAGATCTGGCCAGTTTTTTTTTTTTAAATTTGTGAAAACATTCCCAGTTGGGCTGAAAACTTTTCAGCACTATCTCATTTTTCTTGAAATAAAAACAGCTAAAAAAACAACTTACCAAAATTTATGCAGTCATTTTGGTTTCAAGAAATAGGAGTAATGTCTCTATACACCATAATTTATTACTGTCACTGCCGATATTAAAAAAAACTAATGTCCCCAACACCCACATATGTACCAATATTACTTTATAATCCCTTACAGCCTCAATACCAAAAATACAAACCCAGGTAGTTGAGACTAGTTAAATATATTTTCAGTTTATTATTTTACACAATTACAGGCCTAGAACTAGAATAACCAGCCCAAATCAAGTTCATCTGTATTCCTGTATTATAAATAAAGATATAAATTTGAAACCATTATTTTTGTACCACACCCAACTTCTTAGGTATGTATTCGCATACAAAAAAAAAAGTCAAAGCAATTCACTATTAAAACAAACAATAGCTAATATCAGGTAAGCCTTTTGAAAAAGGTCCTCATTAGGCAGGAGCTATCTGTTGCAAATAAGAGACATTTTTCTTTCTTCCTTTCAGAGACTCAAGACAAGAAAAATATTATCCTATAGTTTCAAAGAAAGCATCCATCAAATCCTCAAATTTTTTCAAGATATTCAACCAAGTAACTGTCACTAAAATCCTTGTCAGATCCCACACAATACAAATCTGCAGCTTGAAAAAAATATTCACAAAAAGAAATTGTAAATTCTGACTTGGTAAATGCATGTAATGTTAACCTAAATATCCACCTATCATATTCAACCATCAACTTACAGACATCAGCAAAGTTGGCAGCAAATCACCTCCCACATACATCATTATGAGCTAAGAACATGCAAATATATATTGTTGAACAGGACTGGGTGTGGTTAAAAAAAGAGGTCTTTGTGTAAGCCTGACTGACCTATTTGTCTGGGTTAAGTTATTCCTTCTGAATGAAGATAAAAAAAAAAAAATCTTTGTACTTTTATCAAGAGGGGTAGAGCCAAGCAATTCAATCCAAGACTTATGCAAGAAGTTAAGACAATTGTGAGAAAAAAATTAATTATAAAGACAAAGTTATCAAATTTTTTGTAGAAACAATTAATTTTTCTGGAACAAAATTATTAACAAATAATGTGCGTGTGCACACATACATAAAAAGCATACATATGTATCTGCACATAAAAAAAAGAGGGAAAAAAATAAAACTTTATTAAATAAGAATATTTCTTAAAAAAATACATAAATAAAAATAAAAAGTAAATAATAAAGAACCCAACAAAAATTTAATGAAAAATAAAATTGTTAAAACTGTCCATTTCAAAGTTTTTATTCTTTATCTAATCTGCTACCCACTCATACTGAATATCGAGAAGGCTTACAAAATACAAAGCAAATTCTGTGGTAGGTTTTCTTGATTAAACTGAGCCCCAAAACTTTGTTTTTAATCTTGTTTACTTAGAATGCATCCGAGAGGGAAAAAAAAAGATCATTAAAAATACAATTTGCAGATATATATATATCACTTAAATTGTAATTCAAAGTTAATATCTTGTAGGATCCAGTTTGAATTATGTTAACTGCTTTTTTTTCTTAAGCAATCTTTATGCTTGTTTATACCAGGCCTTCTTTAGAAATTCTCAGTTCTTTAAAATTTGGCTGTCTTCTATTACTTTCTCACTCTAAGCAGGGCTTTATCATTCCAAGTGATACTGATTGTTTAGGGCTCTGCTGTAAGCATTACAGAATTGTCAGCTGCTTTCTTTGTCCAAATATAATTTCACTGCATTAATGGCACATTAGGGATCATCACACTGTTCTAAAAATCCCTTCCAGCATTCATGCTATTGCCAAACATGAATTGCATCTTCACACTATTCACAGAAGCTTCATCACACTTTACTGAAAATTGCAAACTCAAATCTTTCTCACTATCAATATTCAAACCAAAATATGTTCCTTGCCAATTGTTTGCATTATTTCAATCTTTTATTTTCTTTACAAAGAAATTGTTTCTTGACTGAAATTGTTTCTATCCTTCAATGAAAACATTACTAATTTCTTTGAAATGTAGAAGAATCTATTTTAAGTTCAGCCTAACCTTCACATCTTGAAAGTTCTTCGATATATTCATGCCTGTCAAACTGAGAAATCTCTTTAATAACTGTTTTTATTGAAGCATTAAAACACATTAAAACGACTTATAAATAAAAAAATTCAAAAAAAAAAAAATTTACTTTTTTACAAATTCATCCTTACTTAAAGAATTTTTATTCGCAAACCAAAATTTAAAATATTTACTTTGTTTTTAAATATAGCAAAAGATACTATTTGAATTTACATTTAAAAAACACACCTGCATTACCTCACTTTTTATTCTATCCAGAAATTAAAAATGGTATTATGTTTAATGAAAATAATGAATAAATAAATATTTTGATTGAAAAATTCTTATTGTCATCAATTTCTATTTCTAGTGTTGTCCCTTCAGAGCGTTGGACAACTGTCTCTCTACAATTTCTTGTCCTTTTTGAAGCTCTTAATTACTTACATATAGAAAAATAATTTTTTTTCCTAAAAAAATCGAAAATATATTTCGATTTTTTTTCAAAGCACTAAATGAATTTCACATTTTCTTTGACAATCCAAACAAGTTTGATGCAAATTAAATGAAAACAAATTCTAAAGAATTAATTAGTGTGATTGCAATTTTTTGAAGTCATTTTTCTACAAGTCTTGATAAAACTTACAATAAAATGCAATTAATAATATGTCATATGCAAGTTTCTGAGATAAAAAAAAATCATCCAACAGTTGTTGTCCTCATCTTTGTTGTTTTTACAATTTACATGCATCTGTTTTTGTGATTGATTTCTTTTAACTACTACACAATGACTTGCCACGTTCAGAGAGAGGGTGTGTCTCTTGGGTAGAGACTAGAGAGAATGATGCACCTGGATAAAAAAAAAAAAAAAGCTCTAAATATTCAGCAAAAGAAAAACACGTAGATTTGCTACACCTACCGATTTATTGCTTCGAAAATTCCACATTTTCAACTTCATTTATAAAATTGTTGAATGATTTATGCAAATTTTTTATTCATTTCAGTCGTAGAGTTAAAATTTTGTGTTCAAACTGCAATTTATAATTTCTTACCCAATAAATTAGGACAAGAAATTATGATTAAATATAAATTATGCAAACTATATAATTAAAAATATAAATTATGAATTGCAAGTTATAACTGACGTAACAATGAACAGGCTTTTTCATTCTTTTGTCAGTATTTTTATTTTTTCATATTCAGTTCCATAAAGTTTGTTTTTTAAGCAAATGGAGTTTTTCATGCTATGCATTCTGCTCCCACTTTTGGATACAAGTTTTAAAATTTTGAAGCAATTAAAAAAAATTGAAGTAATTTGAAAAAATTTTAAAAAAATTATTTTAACTTTTACCAATACAAAATCGTTTACACAGAACTAAAAAAAATTAAAATGGGTATATACAAATGCTATGCAAGAGAGAAAGAAAAATAAATTTATCTATTTAGCTAGCAGTTGAAATAACACAGCCTAAACAATCTTTTTTTCTTTTTAAAACTATTTCATGAAAGTCATCGTGAAATGTCTATTTTAAAATTTACTACCAGAAATATAGTGAGCTAAAAGAGCCTTTGCATTAAAAAAAAAATATGTTGCATGATTCTATCGTCAAGGGCTTTAATGACAAGACGCGGTGAGTAGGGTAACCGCGCCATCATTTTATATTTGTTTTAAAACAAAGTCATCAAGTCAAGAACAAATGAAATAACAGATATCATATCCTATTTAAGATAGAAAGAAATCACTAAGTTTTACCTTTCTCATAATCAACCAAAATCTGAAAAAACTGTCAAAATAAGTTTGTGAGTTAAGGATCTTGAAATTGACAATTACGGTATTTTTGCGGAACCGCATTCCGTGAAAATTAGCATTCAGTTTTACAATTTAATTTAAAAATCCATCACAAAATTATTTTGAATGCAATATTAGTAAAATTGCAAATTCCTGCTTGATAAAGAATGATCAAAACGAAAAAAATTAGTCAGAAATCCTAAATTAAAACATCAGTTTAAGCGTGACAATTTTTTAAAAGAATCTATTGCTACAAGTAAGTGCCATCATGCGATGCTTGATATGCTAAAAACGTTTTTCTTTAAAAAGATTACAAAAGTAAGTAAACAGCTGCTTAATTATTTTTATAATCTTTTTTGCTGCAAAACCTTTCAAAATAAGAATCCTACAAACATTTCAAAATCCAGTTATCCCATAGCCTCTGGAAAACACTTTGTATGACTTCTTGCTAACATGATACTTACATTAAATAAATATAGGAATAATTTTAAAAACAAAAATAACTGCATACCATGATTCATAAACACCGGGAACTCGTCCTCTTTTCACTGCATAGAAAGGCATGATAATCAAGATGGGATAATGTTGGAAAAAAATCCTAACTTGAAATCGGCAACCGTTATAAAGGCGTAAGGCACTTCTTGGAGATATTCTAGAAATAAAAGAGTTTAGCAAAATCATAAAGTTAAACTCTTTCCCACAAAATAAAAGATTACAAATAGAAGTAAAATTTAAAAAATAAAACGAAAAATCACTGTGTAAAAAAAAAAAAAAAAGATTTTTCTTAAAACAAAAAAGAAATGTGTACTTTACAAAAGGTTTGCAAGATTTGTTTCCTTCTCGGCAGCTGCAACTCGAATGACAGCTGCAAAGAAAAATACAAATCTTGCAAAAAGCGAGGGAGAGAATAAAAAAAAAAGGCGTGGGTGTCTCGGAAGTGACGATGTAACAAGTTTGATTAGCAAACAGAACAGACATTCAGCCTTGCCATCATGAAAAACCACATGGCTCGTATTTCTGCATATAAACAACAACAAAAAAAAAAAAAAACTACTTCCGCCCTGATGAGACCGAACAGGATTTCCGTTTAGCCCGAGATGTGACTTGAACGAGACTATTCGAGAGCCCTGATCAAGACTAGTCCTCTTCCGCTAGCGCCATTGTAAAAGGTAGGTGTATAATTTTAGTATCTTGTTATTTGTTGAAAATTTAGTGCTTTATTCAATGTTTTAGGAAGAACTACTCTTATTTTTAAGGTATTGAATCCTTGGTTTATTTCATTTTTGCTCATAAGGTTAGTGATGTTTTGTTAAAATTAAGAAATTATCTGGATTGTTATCTATATCTTCATAAACTTATTTTGCTAAAATAGCATGTGTCTATTACCTTATTTCAATTTTCTATTATTTGTATAATTTCAGCTAATGTTGTTTTTTATTCTTAATTTTGTTACTTACAAAAATAGATATTTGTTGATAGCCTTTTATAAAAACAATCTTAAAAACCGGTTCAGAGAACTTAACCTCTTTTTATTGACCATGTGGATTGTGGACGTTTACGATGTCATGTCGGTATCTCTGAAAAAAGTTTTAGATTTTATTTTCTTATATTTCAACAATTTGATCAGAAATACCACAATCATTTCTTTGATCTTACTGTTTTTTTGTTTGTTTGTTTTTTTTTTTTAATCCAATGCACGCACGTAGACATTTTACAGCTCGGTTGAACTGTGAATTACGAGCATAAAAGTTAACCTTAGTTAAAATGAACAAATATTTAAAATTAAATTACTATCTTATTGAGATCCTTCTCATACTACTAGATTCTCTCTCTGCTTTACTGCCAGTAATTACGCAAAAAAGTGAGATAAGTTATATCTTAGAATTTCATTTAGTTGTTTACAATTAAATTTAAATATAGCCTCTTAAGATTCACATGAAACGGATTTTATGCCATAAAGAGTGAACTTAACGGAAAATACAGTCAGTTAAAGATGTGTTCAGCTATAATCACTGAATAAAGATTATAAGACTTCACACTCGTCGATAAGTCACACGCCGAGCCCGGCCTGAGGTTCTTTCTTTGAAGTAAAAAAAAAAAAAAACTTATGTTAACAAATTGTTTAAATCATTTTACAAATTCATAGCATAAAAATTAAATTCTTTTAATTTGAGCTGTAAGTTATGCTTTCTCAAAAATGTAAAAGGAACTAAGTGATATTGACTTGCATAATCGAAAACTAACTTTTCCAAAGTGAACGTTTTTTACCGATTTCATGAAGTTCCTGTCACTCTTCCCAGGGGCGATTATTGTATTGTCGCTATAAAGTTTTTTAATGCCTATATTGACGTATAAGAACTCAAGTTATTTTTCATCTATTCCCTTAGATGTATTCGGGTTGCGCTAAAATCGTTAAACCAGCGGGCGAAAAGCCCGACAACTTCGAGTCGCAGATCTCACAGGTGAGTCTTTCAAAGCCCTAAAGGTTTAATTTCACTGTAAAGTTTTAATTTGCCTCATTCTCCTTAATATACAAGTAGCATAAATAACAAACCAGAATGATTCAGATTTTTCTAAATCATTATGGATGATTTAGAAAAATTTTTATAGGGACCTCCACTTTTTTTTGGCATAAATTTGATGCGTAAGGTTTAAAATGAAAAATCTTTCTTGAATATTTCATTTTAACTTTAATTGAAAGTTTAATAATTAAATGTATTATTTCCATTAAGTAAAATATTCTGAAGTATTTCAGATAGGAACTAGATTGGAATGTCAAATTTTTTCTTAAAAACGGCCATTTTCTTGATTTTAAGAAATTTGTAAACAAAACAAGTTTTTCTATTTTAAAATGCATTCAAAAAATAAATATATTTTCTGACACATTATTTTAGTATGATTAGAAAATTTCAATTAAGTTCAATTAATCTGATTTGAAATAAATATTACTTACTTATAACATGAAAAAATAATATACAACCAATTAACGATTGGTCCTGTTCATCTGATGCAACGTTTGATGGACTGCTGATAGACGAAGCAATGACAGCTGCTATGGATGTCCCAATTGTCAAAATTCTATTTATTTTTCAAATATCCAAAAATAAAAAATTTTTAAAATACTATAAAATTTTCTTCAATTAATTTTATAATTTAATAACAAATGAAATACCGTGATTATTCAATTGAAGTAAGTCCCACACTAACATAAATACATAAAATAAAAAAATATTTAGCGAAATAGTAATTGAAAAAAGTAAAACTTAGTTTAAGCTTTAAACTTTTAAAGTTGGATAGAAAATTTGAAAACTTGTTGAAACGTAACTGAAGCGACATAATAAAGGGACAAAACTTCTAGATCATGATAATGACAATTTCAGTCTACTGTACATGAAAATGAACATATTAAGTAAAAAAAAATACAAAATAAAAAATTATTTTAGAAATAGAATAGCATAACTAAGTTGATTAATAATCATTTCAATTTTGGATTTGTAAATTTTGTTTCCACTTAATTACTATATCACATCCAGGAAATAGCCCAATACAGAATTTTACATGATTTTGAAGTATTATAAATTATTATAATTAAAAAAATTTTAAAAAATGAAAAAATTCTTGTAAAACTTCATTATTCCTAGGAAAAATTTTATTTCTTCAGACAATAATGTCCTTAATATTGCTTATTTACAAAAGCAATTAAAAGCTTTTCTAATTAAGTAATGTCATAGTTTTATTGGATTCATTATTTTTCAATTCAGAGCAGATTTTCAGTGATATGGCTCAAATTTGTACAAAATACATGATTTGCTTTCCTCAAAGCCTTGTGCTTTTAACTAATATAATCACTAAACTGAATGCAACTGAATTTCTACAGTTTTCATAAACTTAGTGGGGTGGGGTAATAAATATAAAAAAAAATATTTCCATGACTTTTAAAAAAAAAACATAATTTCATTTGTGAATAGTTTCTGAAATGAAAGTTTCATTAACATCCAACAATTATTTTTATTTTTGCAAAATTTTCCAAATTAATGTGTCATACAAAAAAAAAAGTGAAAATTTATTTTACTAGTTCTCATGGAGGTACTTATTTTAAGGTCATTGATTAATATATTATTAAATAAGCAAAATGATCACATGATATAGGTGGCATTGCAGAATGAAGCCAGAAATTTGTCTTGTTTTCTTATCTTTTGTAAGAGCAAAATGTGTACATGAACGGCTCCTAGATTTGTTATTTCAAATGCTTAGAGAAAATCCTGAATTCAGTTAAGCACCTTAGCAGAGGACTCATTAACCACCAACAGAATAGCTACTGTTAGACAAATTGTAGATGGCAGTTCATAACAATGTCTGTTACATATTGGGGGCTTACATGAATGCAGGCAAGCCAAAATATCCATCAGAAAACACCTAAGCCAATGGCAGTAAGAGTAATTGTTTAGACACTTCTGAGAAACACTAGGCTTTTGTCTTCTGTGTATAAAGTATTTTTGTTAAATAGTGCACCACTTCATAGCAAGTTTTCTTCGGTGATAGTAGACCCAACCATATAGAATCAACAGATTTTCCTTGTATAACCTATGTTACATTTTATTCGCGGCTGTTTAAAACCCTTGTTTTTGTCATATAGGAAAATCCAACATGGCGCGTAAACGAAATATTCGGCAAAAAAATCTCATTTGTCAGTAACATTTTAAACACCTCATAGAATGTCAAGTTCTTAAAGAAAACCTATGCCAAACTGTTTTCCTGAATCCTTGATGACTTGGCTGTCCAAAAATGATATCAAGATGAAATAATGGAAACTGACCGTGAAAAATACAATTATGCGCAACGGGTTTTCGATCAATTAGTAAACTTCTGGACCTTTTAGGGCGACTTTATAGGATCCAGACGGCTATTGTTTGCACATGGAATTATTCACTGGTAATTAATCTTCAATTTGGCTATGGGAAATGTCACTCGGCGGTTAGCATTAAGAAATTATGCCCAATTTTCTGAGAAAAATCCTCTTCTTTTTTTAATGAGAAAGTATTTATTTTCGCTTCAAAATAACATCCTTCAGAATTCATTCTGTTCTTTCATTTGGTATGAACATCATTGAATAAAAAGAACGGCTAAATGAACCGGCGATGGGAAATACGAAAGATATGTGGCGAAAAAAAACAATGTCGTCTGCTAAGTGTAGTGTTGTTGTCATCATCCAGGTCACGGGGTGTTAAAAACAAAACAAAACTCATCAAGCCATTGTTCAGACATAGGTTATATCAGGCCCTAGTCATTGTGAACCTTTTCTTTTTTTTTTTTTTTTTTTTTTTCCTCGCGCTTTGCTTTTATCTAGGAGTGGTGGGTTTTATTACAACTTGTTCTAAGGTTTGCCGTTTATTGCTGGCTGGTTGGCTGACCTTTGACCTAGACGTCAAAGTCAATTAGGTTTAATTTTCCTTATCGCTATTTTTTGGGAACGTGGTTAGGAATTGCAGATAAATCTCTTGCCTTTTACTAAAGATTTCCGTGGCTGGGTGTCTTTTTTTTCTTTTTTTTTCTTTAACCCTTGGCAGTCTTATAATTGAAAATTAACAATGGATTTTGTTCACCTAGGAATGTTGATTTCCTTTAAAACTCTCAATTTTATGCCTGAAATAGTTTGATTATGATTTAGGCTTTCTGATTTTCAAAAAAAAAAAAAAAAGGTTAATTTCCTATTAATGGGGGAAATATTTGTTTAGAACAAGAAAAAAATGCAAAATTTTCCCTATTTTTTTTTTTTCACATTTTACCCACTGAAAAAAATTGAGTCATTTACACCAGCTAATTTATCCTTTGCTTTCAGAAAATACCTAGTTTCATGGGGTTCAGATCAAAAGTTTCCTTGATATTAGTTTAGATGATGATAAAAGGTCATTTTTCAATATTTTACCCCTATAAAAGTATGAAAATCCATTTTTTGAGGGAAAATGAGCTGTGACAAAATGACTTTTGCCATTTTTGTGATGATTTTCACTTGGGAAAGAAAATTTTTACCATAGCAAACCTGAATTGACTTTATTAAGTTCAGTGGGGCTATAGGAAACCTCAAACAGCTGTGTATTACATTGCTATTAAAGGACCTTCTATGATGTTATCACTGGCCTGTGTTCTTGCAAGCCTATGATTATACAGCATATTGGGTAGTATGGGCATTATCCTATTGTATGAATGACTACTAGATACACCTTGAGCACACCTACTCTCATCACTGAAAATTAGTGCCGTCTCACAATATGATGACATGGACTATACACTCTTCTGGATAGTTCATATTTGCTCTAATGTGGCTTGTCAATAGGTGTATGAATGTCAATTTGAATACAATTGCCAATATTAAAGTACTACTGTTGTGTCAGATCCTCAAGAGCTTAGTCTTGACCTACAAATGGCTCAATTCAACAAAAGAAGCCTGTGTGGAATCTATGGCATTGAAGTGTTGCTGTATTAAAAAAAAATACTTGTAAAAGAAACTTCTGGTGTCTCTTGCTCTGCTTAGAAATGATTTTTCAGATTCTTGTAATTGTCTTTTTTTTTCTTTCCATTTGATCTCTATATCAAGAGATTTTGCTGAAGTAATTTTCTAACAAATGTATTTTTAATTTGCCTTCTATTTCCAGGCTCTTCTTGAGTTGGAAATGAGCAGTGATCTTAAGGCTCAACTCAGAGAACTGTACATTAGTGGAGCCAAGGTAAGCATTTATAAAAATATTATTTATTACATGCAGCATCAAAAAGTCATACCTAATTTTCAATCAAAATGGTAGCTAAATTTAAAGTTTTCTTTATAGAATCAATATTAAAGAAATGTATGGTGGGAAATGCTCAATAAGCAGTAAAAACGTTTTTCAAATGCTATGAGGCTGTAATTGTCTTTTCTAATCATTGGCAGCGGTTATATTTTGCTCAACCAGAATCTGACTCTTGTCTGCATCACTAGAATTTAAGATGTTTTTCCTGTGATTCTGGCTTATCAAATAATGAAGTAGCTCAGCTCCAGTCACAATGACCTTGTGGGATTTTCATTTGAACAATTATTACACGCACACAAAAGGTTCTTGGGAGATTCTTTTAAACAACAAAACTGCTGTAATTGACAGAAATTTCCAGCAATAGTTTTATTTACAGTATCAACATTTGACATTGTAAATTCACTGAAAATATTACAAAGCATTATTCAAGAACTTACATGTAGTGGATACATTCCTTGGTACTTTGTTCCCTGAAATTGTCCACTCACTTTGCTGCTTATTTATATATGGCATCCCCTTAGATGTCACAACTTTGTGTCAAGTTGTATTAAGCAAAATAATTCCAATTTTTGCAGGCCTTGAAAAGGTTTTGAATGGTATTGTTAAACCTCCTTGTGTCCATTCTCAACTAAATTCATTGCTTTTAACAAATTTAATTTTACATTTTCATTCAGATTTAATCTACGATCTTTTAGTTTTCTTCTGGCCTCCACACCCCAGTGTTTGCCTCAATAGCTGGAGGGTGATCCTCATTCTGTTATCTGCTTTGTACTAATTTTATTTCCAGCAATTATTTACTCAGTTTCAGAGAATCTCCTTATATAGATGTCTTATCTAACAATTGTTTTTCAGGAAATTGATATCCATGGAAAGAGAGCTATCATCATCTTTGTTCCTGTGCCTCAATTGAGAGCATACCAGAAAATTCAAATCCGTTTAGTAAGAGAGTTAGAAAAGAAATTCAGTGGCAGACACGTTGTTTTCATTGCCCAAAGAAGGATCTTGCCTAAGCCCAATAGGAAAATCAAGAACAAGCAAAAGCAGAAAAGACCTATAAGGTAAGTAAATTTGTCCTTTTTTTTTTTATTATTATTATGAGAATAAATTTCTACAAATTTGTTGCAGCAAAAATTGTTAAATTGAAGATTTATTTTACATAAATTCTAAACTATTAGAAGGCATGTGTTTTATATTTTTTAAAAAAATATCTAATTTCCTTCTTTTAGCCGGACTTTAACTTCAGTTCATGAGGCAATTTTGGAGGATTTGTGTTTCCCTGCTGAAATTGTAGGCAAAAGGATCAGAATCAAGGCAGATGGCTCCAAGCTGATTAAGGTGCATTTGGACAAAAATCAGCAAACCAATATTGAACACAAGGTAAAAAAAAAAATTTTTTTTTTTTTCTTAGTACATTTTAATGTCATGGTGTCTGTGGATTACAGGCAGTCAGGTGGGCAAATAATTTCTGAAATCATGGACATATTTCACATCCCTTTGCAGTTTCATATGTGACTTTAATTATTTAAAAAAAAAAAAAAAAAAAAAAAAAGCTGCGCGCTCGCACACACACACACAGTGTACACAAATAAAAAGTTGTTTCAGTGGACTAATTTAAATGCCAACAGGCACCAACTGCTCTAATATATAATATATAATCGAGGGCACAGCAGAAAATGCCTCCCAGATTACACTTAATACATTAGTGGCAACGGTGTCTCCACCTAGCATCAGATGTGATAAGGTAATTTGATTTATGGCTACCACCGCCAGAAATACACACATGCAGTCTTTATAGATCCCAACTCATTCTTCATTACATACAATTTTGTCTCTAACCTAAAGAAGCTGGAAGTAGATTCTAGGTTTGTATCTTTCAACATTCTCATTATTTCTGTTTTGGATGCTATTATACATCCTACAAAAATACGTATGTGTGCAGGAAATTTTTTTTTACCTCTGCTGTACAAGAGTTGGTGACCTTGTTCTAGGCATAGTGCCTAGAACAAGGTCACCAACTCTTGTACAGTTTGTTCATATTACAAGTGTTTGGTATATTTTTATAGGAATATTTCATGTGTATTTGCTTCAGACGAAATATAAACTTTGAATAAGCATCTTGGTGATACATCAAAAAAACATAGTTGCTAGCATGTGGTATTTCCTTTAAATCTTGTCATGATTATAATAAGCCTCTTTTTTTTCTTTTTTTTCAGCTGGAAGTCTTCAGAGGTGTGTACAAAAGGCTGACAGGCAAAGATGTTGTCTTTGAATTCCCTGATTATGTTCTGTAAAAATGTGCAACACTTGAGGAAAAAAAATAAATCGCCTATTAATTTGTGAAATGGATTTTATTTATTGGGAAAAAAATAATAAATGCCCCCTCTTGAGAATTTGAAAACTCTTAAAAGTAACTCTTTATTATTGTCACTTAGTCAAACTAATCTCACCAATGTCTCCTTGTCTACAAAGAAAAATTATGGCTATGTTTGGTAGTTCACACATTGTCTACTAATAATATTTAATCCTACATTTCAATCCCTCTGGATCCAATAACAAAATAAACACTAACCAATTTAATGTTGTCTAAAACCTGAGGTAGGAAAATGGTGGTCACTAAATTGTTCCCTTAAATTTTGGGGATGAGGGGTTCTTTATCTCTTATACAGGACCTATACAATAATAGGATTTTGTTAATATGCTTGTATAATCAGTACAGTGTCTTTCACATTGCATTCTCATGTATAGGGAGATTCATCAATATCCTAAAAACTGTTGATTCAGTTACACATCCCCAGGTGGTGGCAGAAGCCTATTTTCTTAATAGCGCTAAGCTCATGAAAAAAATTTTTTATCAAGGTTATGTGAAAGAGCTGATGGTGTGAGACAATCCAGAACTCAATTTCTGAAATGTTAATACAACTGCTTTTTGTTGTATTTGTCATGGGAAGATGCTGCATACCTTCCTATTAATCTTGTTTAGTGTCTGATAAGTAGTTTTCAACTAAAAGTAATTCTAGTTCTACAAATTATTACATCCTCCACCCAACTTGAGTCTTCTTGGTTCTGGGTATTTTCCACTTTATCAGTTGATTTCCCCCACTCACATTGTTGAAAAACAAGGTCTGGGAAAATTTCAACTGACCGATGTTTCTTGGCAATCTTGCAAGAAAGATTGTTGTAGACGTTGATGTTAGGTTTGTTTTACCTGCCAGTCTTGCTTTATAAGTTCATAGATTCAGTGTACAAGCAAATGATCTTCAATTTGGGGCCTGAAAGTTCCCTTTTTAAGTTCAGGGACTAGCCAACATTAAGAGCAGAACTGTATTCAGCTGTTGAACAAGTATAGAAAAATGAAGTTGTGCACTTTGTCACTACCCAAAGAAAAATTTAGTCAGCAGAAATTTTTCCCCGGTTTTTGTTTGGAGGCCAGACAATTGAATTGTGGAACCTGCTATCAGTTCAAGACATTGTTCTTGTTATAAGTCATATTTTTAATTTATAAACTGGCTGTCTTATAACTTGTATCTCTTTTATTCCTGAAAATGTCAAATCAAAAATATGGATTGGGAAAATAACTAGCAGTGCATTTTAATGTATATTGAACTAAACCAACGTAAAGTCATTTTTCCAAGCTTCTCCAAATTTGTGGAACCTTGGTTTATGTTGAAATCTCACTTTCTCCAATCTTTTTGCTTGATATATTGAATCCCACCAAAGACACCAAAGTAATAGAAAAATCCAAATTACCTAGCTTGGCTGTCTGTTTGGCAAAGTTTAAACTTTTGTGTCTATAGAAAAAGAAGAAAAATATGGGTCAAAATGATAGTTTTTCACTTGGCACTATTATTTTATGCTCTCTCGGCAATGTTTATTTTTAAAGTGTGATAATTTTAATAAATGCCACACATATGGAAATTAATTTGTACATTTTCATTGTTCTTGATAATCTACAAAAGTATTAAAAACTGTTTATTTACATTATAAAAATATGAGCTAATGTAATGTTTATCATTTACCAATTTATTAAATCTTTTTAAGAAAAATTTTTATTTACAATTTATAAAAATATGAACCAATTATAATGAAATTTTTACCATTTTATAAAGTTCAACTATTCCAAAGAACAAGTCACTAACTGCATTAATTTAGTTCTTTTTTTTTTTTTTTTCATTTAAGATTTCTTTATCAGTCAGTACTTTCCTTGCAATAAATAATCTTAGCAGATTTTCTAGCTATTTTCAGAAAGAGTAGGATACCTTGGATTTCTATTGATTATGCATCTTTGATCCTAGACTGATGAAAAAAAAAAAATTGGAAAATTAAAACCATATGTTGGGATATAAAATAATTTGAGAATGTAGTGTCTAAAACTGTTTATTGAAAAAAAAAAGTTTTCCTATTTATTTTGGGGGGGGTAGGTATGACAAAGTGGGGAAGAGTTTTTTTGTGACACATTTTGTTCTTTAGGTCTTCAGATTGTTTATGCTCCAATATCTGCACAAATTAAAGACACTAAATTCAATTATTTTTTTTGTCTATAGTTTTTGGGTATATAATCTAGTCACTTTCATTTAGATTCTTTTTCTTCATTTCCATCACATTTAAATATCCCAGTGTGATTCGCAACCAAAACTTACCTAGCAATTTGTAGTCCATACTTGTAGATTTTTCAAAAAAATAAATATTGCATTGTACTTTGTGCACATTTTTATAATCTTGTATGTAAGCATTGCCGATGACATCTCAGTAATAGATAGCTGTCAACAGGAAAACTTTTTTTTTTTTTTTTTCTCCTCATATGAACTTATTTCAGCTGACCACCAGGTATTGATTCACTTGTATCTAAAACTTTTTTACATCTACCTAACAGTTATCTTAAATTAGTTTTACTGAATATAGCACAAAGGGAGCAAAAAAAAATATTTTTGTCAACTCAAACAAATTTCTTTAAGGCATCCTGTCCAGTGATCAAAAAAATAAATCAACCAATTCTGTTGAAATTCACAAAGAAAAAAAATACTATTTAGAGTGGTTCTGCAGTTAGTGTGAGTTAAATAACCCTTTTGTTAAAACACTGTTCAGAAAGTGAATTTGAAAAATGCAGGAGAAAAAAAAAAAATCAATTATTTTTATATCATTGTCAAGGAACACTTGCAGAACATTGATATCTCTGGAAACTTAAAACTCCAATATACGTTCTTTTCCTGCTATTGCACAAACTGGTGAGGTACTGCTTTTCATTTTTGCTGTTAAACATTTAAAACAAATTCTTCTAATTTATGAAATACATCTCTGAAAAGCCAAACAATGGAAAAATAGTTGTCTTGATATCTCAAGATAAAGTGATTGAAAACTGAGTGACCCTAGATGGGACTATGTAAATGGTAGGCATAAAGTTAAGTGCAGTGTCTAGATTAAAATTGCAGGTGGGTATTGTTATACATTACCAAATATACTGCAAAGCTCTCAAAACGGAGCCATGTCATTAATATCTAGGTAAAAAGCAGTTAATTTTATACATGCACAGCTTATATTTCACATATCCTTACTTAACCAGATTAATCATTTCGAAATACTTTTATGAACTGCATTTACATGAAAACATTTCATCAGAGACAAAATTTGAGTTTGGAGATGCTGAATAGATTTAAATTTTCTGGTTAACATTGGTCATTTGAATGATCTGAACAAATCTGACTCCAGCTTAATGCATCTATGCTTTTGGTTAATCAAATATTGGAAAGGACTTTATAATGTGAGTTTGGAATCACATCTTCTCACAGAAATATCTTATAGAACTCTAAAAGGGTTCCTAGATTTACATGAAGTTGAAGCTCAAATTCTCCATTTTCTAGTGACTGGGGAGGGGGTGATAAATATAAAACAACTTTGCTTGATAAGTTTTCATTTTTTTTCTTTCTTCTTATTACAGTGGCATTTCACCCTGTACAAGGCACAGGGGCCAATCAGGATAGGTTACAGTAAGTAGTTTATGTGGATAGTTGAAGATAACACAACTAGACAAAAACATGAAGAATAACTGATGACTTTAAATGGTAATGTAAGTCTCAACTTCAGTCCATTTCTCTAAACTTTGATAGAAAGAGAAAGCCATTTTCAATAGGTAGAAAGTAAAGAAAAATTTTATTTCATTTCTTAGTACATTAAGAAAAAAAAATCCAAAACACTGGTCAAATTATGTATCCATAGTATTGTACAATCTTCTTTCAATTACCTGCCTCCACCTCATTCTGGGCTCAGATAAGTTTTCTTTCTATCCAGCATTGATCTTATCAAGCATTGTATGCATACACTTGAACAATTTTTATCACCATTCTCACATTAGGGACTCTTATTTGTATATATACTACAAATTACTTTGCAATAATAAAGAAAGGAAACATGGTGTTAGCAATGTATATTGACCCCCTTTTGCCAATCTACTTTGGTCTACAATATGGATAAGATTTTTTAAAATAACTGGCCCGCAAGATTCATGCTCCAATCTAACCTACAGAGCTAAATGAGTTTGACACCCATGCACTAGCTGAAAACCTGTCCCACATAGGGTGAGAGTTGTTTGTTGTGTTTTTTTTTTTTTTTTTTTTTTTTTTACATATTTTATAAAAAGTTACTTTATATTAGATGGGAAAAAAATTCTTTGTAGAGTCATTTACTTAACATGCAAAACTTTAAAGCAATTTAGTTTTTACAGCCTAATTCAAAATGTCCATAATTTGAATTATGTTTTTAACAGTACAGATAATTTTTTTTTTTTTAATATAAAGATTAAATTCAGAATCAGATCTGAACTATTTATCAGATATAAATTAAATATGGAGTTAATGTATTTTTCAGATTAACCTTTTCATTAATAAAAATATTAATTTTTATTTAGTTAATTTTTTTTTTTTTTTTACAAAATGTAATCAAGCACATTTCAAAATGATCGACTTTGCAAAGTCGATCATTTTGAAATAGCACTCAGACATTTTAAATATAAACAGTTAAACAACTTTGTTACTCTGAAAAAACTAAAAGAAATTTTAATATTTGATTTTCATGTATTCAATATTTTGAAAATTGGCTAACCTATTAATGACTAGATTTCTTAAAATCTATTCATATAAACATTTTTAAAGGTTCTTTCTTTCTTTCACATTAAAAGTTTATGCTTAAATTCAAATACAACAGTTACAAAACAATCATTACATTTGTTGAATGAACATGTTCCCAGAACTTTTTTTTTTCAGGCCCAGGTGCATGGGGGGGTATTGGCTACATATTATTTAAGAAAGACCCCCACTTTTCAGCTGAAAATGGAATTTCTCCTTGTTTTAAACTAGTTAAGCAGGTCCTAAATTAAAAAGGGCTTGGACCCCAAGAGACCCTGCAGTTGAACAAAGTGTTTATTGAATTTGTCAGCAATAGTGACACCAAGGTGAAGTTCCTATGTATTGGAGATGTCAAAATCAAGCAGGTATAGTAAATTAACTACTTGGAGTAAGGCTTATTAAGACTATCCATCCAGTTTAATATGTTTGTGTTTTATTAAACTTCTAGAAATAGCTTTTTAAAACAAAAACAAAAAAAATGCCAAAAGGAGTATACAATATTAGCAGTGTCAAGATGAAAATTTTTTTTTTTCTTTTTTTGCAGGTAGATTTGTTAAACTTTGCCAATGTTCCTTGAAGTTCTTATATATACTACTATTGTCAAAGTAGTACATATCAGTAAAATACCTCACTGTCCATTCCAGGGTAATCATTGCCTACAAAATGTTTGAATCACTATCCCTAATTCATGTCTGGTGTATGAAGACACAAGACAAAAAAAAAATTTTTTTACTCACAAAAATAACATAAAAGAACAGTTTTTTTGTTTTTTGTCTTTCCTCTTACTATAACATCCCTTGGCAATTTTCAATGTTTTAAAAAGCTATTTTTAAAATGTTAATAAAACCCAAACATACAAAACTGGATTTATACATTCTCTTTTTTTCTTGAGAAGTGACAACAAAAATATTAAACATTTATTTATAAGATTATGTGAACCAAATAAAATTCAATACAGCACTATGAAGATATTTTTTTTTTTATTTATAAATTTAAAATGTTTGAAATACAAAACGAGCAACTAATTATAAATTTTGAAAAAAATGAATTTTCCAGGCATACATTATTTTATATTTCAGATTGATTGGGTGAGTGGGATCATTTAGCTATTATCATAAAATGAACAATTATTTTTATTTAAATTTTCTTATTCTATAGCTCATATATTTTATGAATTAAAAAATGTTTTCAAAAGTTATTTTTTTAATATATGGTAAATAATAAATATTGCATTGTAATTGGTTCACATATTTTTTTATAATCTTGTTAATAAAATTATTCTTGTAAATAAACAATCTAATAGAGTTTAGTATTTTTGATGTCAATTCTTGGAAAAGTATAAATCCAGTTTCATGTGTGTGGGTTTTATTAAAATCCTAAAGCAACAAAAATTACTAAGGGAGCATACAGCAATAATGAAGAGCTACATTTTCCTTGATACTGTTTTTCTGCAGTTATGTTTGTTAAATTTTGCCAAAGTTTCTATCAAGAAATTACAAGTGTTTTAATGTGTCAGTGTTTTCATTAACAATAATTTCCTGAATATTTTAAATATTAATAATCAATGCAGTCCTTATATCTCTTGATAGTTTTTATATTTCAGTTTTGCTTTATTTTTCTTCATTGTACAGTGGTGACAAGTTACTTATAAACTAAAATTGTCTCCCTTATTTCTTCATATAACTAATGAAGCCAATATTGTACAAGTTTAGAATTAATTGTATTGCTTTTCAAAAGGAAACATTTCCCAAATCAAATGTATTCCATTCAAGCCAATATTAATGAATCTAGAGAGGTTAACTAAAAAATATTTCAGTTGGTGGAAGTTTCATATTGTTTCAATTATTAATGTTGAAAAGTGCAGTGAAAGTATGATAATATGTCTTAGATTTACCAAAGTAAAATATAACATTAGATAGAGTAAATGGACTGTGACAGTTCAAAATTAGCATTGGCATCTGAAGTATTAAAATAAAATTTCAACTAATTTTTTTTATATACAAAAAGATGAGCCATGTTTTTTTGTATTTTTTAAAAAAAAAGGTTGGGTGAACAAATTATTTGCAGAATACTTTGTATAAAAGTGAACTTAAGTTTCAAACATTTATCTTTTATTTTCTAAGTGTTATCAATAATGAATTAAGCTAGACTTTATACAACCAACATATATTAAAAATAAATTTTTCATATTCTTTACTTTTTCAGATATTTTAGAAAGTCAAATACCTTTTTAAAATTTACTCACTCATTTCAAAATATAAAATTTAAGAACAGAGCAAAAAATATTTCTATTGATATTTGAATTTCAAAAATGGATGTAATCTAGTGACTCAATTACAAATTCAATGACTGATGATAATCTATTTGAAAATACAAAGAAACTGAATTGCTATCATTAGATACTTATAAAGAGATAATCAATAGTTAAAAATTTACCTAGTTACATAGATTCTAAGACTGAATAGTGTTTGAAATGTCCAGCTTTCACTTAAAGGCAGCTAATGGAATAGATACTCTAACAGTTATGTTTTTGATATTTTTATCTACACATTTGATTTCTATTTCTATGAATAATACTTTCTAAAACCAAATTTTTAAACCAACAGGATATTTCTTTATTGAACATGTTGCCTGTTTAAAAACAAAACAAATATCACTCGGATTCTTAACATAAAAATTAATGAAGTGAAAACATAAGAGCATTAAAAAGATTTTTTACAGTCATTCAAGTATTAAATCCTATCAGCTTCTTTTATGTTCATGTGTCTGATTTGGATTTGAAACAAGAATTAAAAACATTATCCATGTCCGTTTTGGGAACCTCCTTAGAAGTTTCTGATTGTGTACCCATGTTGACACAAGAGGCTTCTGGAACCGTGTTGCAAGTACTTTGTTCAGGAGTTTTGGAGTTCATACGGCCACTACAGTGTATTGGTTCTTTAAGGTAATTTACAGGCACTATTCCAACCTTTTTACCATCAACAGATGCCAACAACCAGCCTTTTATACGGGGCTGCAATTCTGAAAATGATACATTTATTACCAGCATTATTGGTTTTATAATTTTTCTACATTTAAAAACAGCTTTTAAAAACTGACATAGAAGCAAGCATAAAACTTTACATTGGTTTTTCATGGCTTGTAATTCAGAAGTTTTATTTTTGGATTAAAAATCAACTTGGCTACAAAATTCTTAAAATCTTGTCCAAGTTTTTAACTAATTTTACTTACAAGAGAATAAGGCAAAGTAATAAATCAAGAGATAATAAAAGAATCATGGAATTGTACATCAGAAACAAGTAAAATCAATGTAAATGAGTGATTGGTAATTCTTCAATTTGACTAATAATTATACAGTTATAACTAAAGCAAAGAAAGATTACCTCTAGGAGCAATGATGATTTTCTGTCCAGGAGAAAATGAAAGTTCATCAGCATTTTCTGCTTGGAAATTATATAGACTTTGTGCAACATAATGGTCATCTTCACCTGATAACCATTTGGGGACGCCTGAAATAAAAAAAATTATGCAGCAAAAGTCAATATTCAAATATATAGAAATTGCAAAATAATTCTTAAATAAGATTAAGATTAGGAGTTTATATTTAGTATAAGTAAGCTGCAAAGAATTATGAATACAAATCAATTTTTAAATAAAGATATTTTCCTTCTGGTTATCTGATGTTTGGAATTTCCCACATTGATAAACTTATGAAACTATGATACAATTAGGATTTATAGAACACAGTAAAATGAAATAGTTTGAGAAATAAAGTGACACCAAGCAGACTGAAGATCCACACCTGTAATTAACTCAAACTTTAATAATATAATCACTTATATTTCCTGCTTATTTTTGGTTAGATGTATTAGTTTGCACTTAAGATACTATTAGAGCCATAAGAATCCCAAAATGCCATTTTGGTTAAATGCTTTGCTCTTACATAAGTGAAGATAGGCACAAAGAGTTTTATTTGAAGAAATGATAAAAAAAAAAAAAACATTAGTTAGAGAAGACTCATATATAGAAATTGCTGTGTGTTCCGTGTCTCCAAAAAGGTCAGTAATTTAGGACTACTTTTCCCAGATGTTCAGGGTCACAAACCAGCCCTCTAGTTTTCCACAAGTGTTTCTTTCATGCTTCTTTGAAATTGCAGTATTTAATAGAAAGACGTTTTCATTTCACCCTGAAAAATCAAATTCATGGACTGTGAACACCTTCCATCTTGCAAAGAAGCTTATTAAAATTATTTGAAAAAAGTAAACCACATTCATCCGCATACTATTAGAATACTCTGGCAATAAAACCTCTGAAACTGAAAAATGTTGGTGATTCCTTACAACATTTTTTAGCCTTTATTTAGCATTACTTATTGATGCAACATAAGCAAAACACAGTGAAATGAACAACAAAATAATGCAAATGGATGAACAGGGCAGCAGCTAAAGAGAGTGGGAGGTAAAAGAAAGTAAAAGGATTCAAATGGAGTAAAGAAAAAACGAGTAAGAGAGGGAGTAATCTTTATGAGATGCCCTGGGACAATTTAATATATAAATATTTCAATCTGTGTGTCCAATTTGTAATAGTTTAAAAAAAAAAATGGTAACATTAATTATTCAGGGCTAACAGTATTTGTATACAATTATTTGTAATAATGTCCAACATGTTGCTAAATGAAGTAATATAGTTAATTATTGGACTTCATCTTACAAAAGTAAATTTTATTAATAGTCTTAATTTTCAACTGGAAAGAGTATCTTAATTCACACTATAGAAAACAGCAAAATCCTTTTTAAACTCTTACATAAAAAAATGAAAATTTGTTACCCAAAGTTGATTGATTGTAAAAAAATTTTAAATTGAGTTTTATTAGTGTATATAACTTTTTCCAACACATGCAAGTCACTATTAATTTAATGATGCATTTTATAAACACTAAATAAATTCAGTTATTGTTTCAATTATATTTATAATCTGCTTTATAAAAAAATTTATCCAACAATGATACTAATTATTAAACAGTAAAATAAAATGTTGATGTCTGCTCTACATTAAAGACAAGAATTTCATAAATATACTCATATAAATGTCAGCCACTTTACCTCTAATTATATTACTTTTGTATTTATTTCATTTGAAGTGGTATTGAAAGAAAAAAAAAATGTGGTTCTTCTACAATCTAGGTATCTTTTGATTTTACTTACTTGGTGAGATGAGCTTCCATATCAACCAGGGTGCTCCAATGATAATACCAAAGAACATGATGATTGGCCATGAACTTAAATGTCTACTATTCTTGGAGAACACTTTCTGTGAAACAAGACCACCAACAGCCTCATTCCAAGCAGCATCTGCTTTTCCAGGTGGACTCAACCTTAGAATTTCTAGCACTTTGCGCACCAAGTACCTTAATGTTCTGATTATAGCAAGAGCAGATACCATGTGACATATTTGTGATTTAAGCCTTGAAAGATTATCAGCCACTCCAACAACTGCCCGAAATGAGCTGTACAAGGCTTGGAATGTGGAATCTAACATCATGCTCACTGAAGTAAAGGCTTGCACTATACTTTCAATTGATTGGAAGGCTTGTCGTGAACTGTCTTCAACTTGATGATAAAGACTGTTATAATTAATGGTATTTGAAGATGAAGAACCATAACTGAAAAAAGAAGTTGACTGAAAATTAAATGATATAATACAATCTATTATATGTAAGTAGAGAAATAAATGGTAATTAACAACACATTCATTAAAACTGATATATTTGCCCACAAATCAAATTGGTTAACTGAGAATCAAACTCAAAAAGCTTTTACTTTCCATAAAATTTTATCTAAGTTAAATTTTGGAAATTTAAAAAAAAATCATATCACGTTTGACTTGATGCATTGGTACAATGTTGCATTTAATGACTATAGATAAATCACATTTTTTGCCAAAAGCCTTGTGAAGTTTTAGAAAATATATCTAAAACAATAAAAGAGAAAATAAAGGGTACTGCTAAATCATTCAGTGTCATTTTAACTATTACATTTTTTTATGCTATATCACTTCAGGATGTAAGTGCGATACAGATTCTTTTTTTATTTGTGAATTGTCAAAACTTCTTGGGAAATAGAGTATTTTAAAATACACAAAACAGATAGAAAGTACCCTCTCTAAATTCTTTTCCAGCAAAACAAAAAATTGAAAGGAGGTTATTGATAATGATGGAACTTATGTTGATGAACAAGTTCTAATAAAACTTGAATTTCTTATATTTTTTCTGAACCCAAAATTCAGACATTATTTATACAAAGACTTAATACATAGAAGTTAAAATCATTCTCAAAAATAGCAAACAAACCTGTTATAACCATAATTCAATCCAATGCCAGAATAATAGGGCATATAAGGATTGCTTCCATAGTTAGTGGCCCCATATAGATTGTAAGAGTTGAATGTAGGATTGGTACGATAAACTGGGATCCTGTTTGTTTGTGAAAGGTTTGGTCTTGGAGGTAAGGGAGGAGGACCAGAAGGATCAGGTACAGATCCACCTCCACCTGCTTGTGAAGTAAACCCAGCAGGAACATTTGCCGTACTGCCAAAATAAAATACAATCAACATAAATCTATACTTATCAAACTTTGTAAATGTCGGGTCTTCCTACTTTGTAGCTTAGGTTAGCAAAAGCTGTAAAATGATTTACATATTTTCACTTAAGTCTAATTTATTAATTTAACAATAATAATAGCAATCCAATACATTTTGATTTGACAATACATAATCAATCTTCCTAAAGTTATTTTTTGTTTTGTTAATCTTCCACAGGATGAAACCAACTAATGACAGACCTTATATATTTCTATGAATCAATAATTAGAACATTGCTGATAATGTTTTCATATTATAGTTTTACTAGAAGTACAACTCAATAAAAAAATAAATAAAAAGGATATACAATAATAATAGTAATCCAGCCTGTTGTCCTGAAATCTATATAGTACACAGGACAAACATTTCTTACATTCTAATGTTAATTTATATTCATTATAAAAAGAAAACACTAAAGTAGTGGTTCCTCACTGGGAGTGCTTACACCCCCTGGTAGTGCAAGATCAACTTTTAGTGGGTGTGAAACCTTGGATTTGGCAATTTAGCAAAAATAATAAATAAATTTAAATGTTTAAATTTTAATAGATAGATAAACATTCAGATTTATTTGTTTACTATTTTTGCTGATACATTTAACCATTTTAACAGTAGCGGAAGAGAAAACAGCTCTTGTTAAATTAGCCGGTGTAACAGTAATTAGATAATATGGATAGCATTTAAATTAACAACCGAGAATAGGCAGCGCTGCTTCGTGCCAGCTACTCTTTATAATTAGGTTGCCAAGTGGGTGAGCCTCTTATTTTTTTATTTATTTTTTTTTTACTTAAGTTCAGAATTATCTCTAGAATCCAAATTTGATGGGTGTCGGATTCTATTGGATTGGTGATTATATTGAAGCTGGCTATTAGATTGGTAAGATATTCATTTTTTTTTTTTCTCTCTCTTTTAGATTATTAACCCTTCATCATGTCAAAAAAAAAAAAAGAGGAAATGGAATGATGACACTTGCATGGGAAATGATGAATTACAAAAACCCCAGTGCATACTTTGTAATGCTGTGTTTTTCAATGCAAATATGAAGCCATCAAAGCTGCAAGAACTCTTCAACAACAAGCATGGTAGAGGTGGTGTTGAAGGCCATGATTTTGAATCACTGAAAACTAAAAGAGCCCGTATTCAATCTCAAGGAACCCTTCCAAGATTAGGTTTCAGCCGTAAACCTTTATTTTTTTTTCTGGTTGTAAACCAGACTTTTTTTCTTTTCTTTTTGTATATTTTTTGAATTTTTTGGAAAAAAAGAGAGGAGTTTCTGTTTTTGTTTTTTTATTTTCGGCAGCCTTTGGGCGCCATTGTTATTTTTTTTCTCCTACCTGTCTATTTATTTCTTTCTGTTCATCAAGTTTGTCGTTTATTTTTCTTTTAGTTTTTTTTTCAGTTTATTTTATTATCTTTGCTATTTTTATTTTCTGGTGCTTCCAGGCTTTTTGTATAATTTTCTTTTTTTTCTTGCTCTCCCAACTCCTTTTCCCAAATTGTACTTAAATTTAAAGACCCGCAGATGGCCGACGGTGCCAGTCGGCCTAATGCGAAGAAAGACCTTTTCGGGACGGCTGCTAAAGCCGACCCGCCTGATAAATCGGCAAAAACCGGGCTGATGGTAGCCCATAATCTGTTCATTCTAGTATCTCCAAGAAAGGAGATACTACCAAACAAGACGAAGTGCCAAAGGAGGCACAAAGTAAGAATGCCGAGGATTTGCCCTCCTGCTGGAAGTCGCCCCCTAGTTGTATCTTGAACATGGTGGATTTCCTGGATAAGGCAAAAGGTTACGCCCATCTTGTTAATAAAGATGGGTTCATCGAAGTTGTCCAGGAACTCGATATGTTCGCAAAAAGAATGGTGACCGTTTTTGTGGTGGACAAGAAAACACGTAAGATTTGTCGCTCCACAAAAGACAGTGATTAAATCACTTTTGTCCCTGGGGATAGGACCCCAAAGAGTAATTAAGGGCACTGGGTTCTTCATGTGGGACATTTTGCTACCCACACCAGAAGATTGCCTGGCCATGGCTAAAAAAGAACTTATCACAAAAGATCTGATTTTAAAAACTGAATATGAAGGCCGCAGGCGTACCAGGGTGGCCATTTTTGAGGTTCCTCCTCAAATTTCGGGAGAGCTCCTGGCTGCATTTTTCATGCAGTTCGGCCAAATTTTAGGGGCTCTCTCTGACAATTTGAACGGGGGATGGACTTTTGATATAATGCTCGATCAGAAGGCCTTCTAGTCTGTCCCCAACTGTTTGGTGTTTGGCAACCAGAAAATGCCGGTCATAGTGACCGGTAGGAGACCAACTTGCTGGAGGTGTGGTCACCTTTCCTCCTCTTGCCCAGGGAAGAAGGCCCCTGGAGTTCCGGTCGCAGGCGACCAAAATCCCCACTTGGCCAAAAAGGTAAAATCCGCGGCGCCTGTAGTGTGCCTAGCTCCGAGGCAGACCGGTGAGGAAAATCCCTCAGTTGGGTCCAGACCCACATTACCCCCAAATCCGATGCCTGCCACTAGTGTGGATAAGGAGAAGGATGAGGGGGAATGGCGCCTCGTAGTTAGGGGCAAGGGGAAGACCCAAACAGTGGTTCCTCAGTCCCATCATGAGCCCAGGGACAATGTCACCTACAGCCCCATTCCCTCTACCAGCTCTGAGGGCGACGCCTCGGCGTCTTATGCGAAAAATGCAACGGATTCGCAGAAATTGAATGAGCTGAGTTGGGAGAAGATTCTAGATTTGAAAAAATTGAAAGAAAAACTGGAGAAAAAGCAGGCTAAAAATCAGGAATCGCTAAAATTCACCGGGCCCCCTATCCTCTGCCCCGTCTTCCCCTTCTTCAAATAAAAACATCTTCACTAAACCACCTCCACCAAAATCACTGTCAAATTCACCGACTAAAATTCATCAAAACCCTCTCCTGTGAGGACGCCTTCGAGCATGACACCCTCCACTACACCAAACGTCACACCCATTCCAACACCCATTCAGTCTCCACAAAAAAAAAAAAAAAAAAAAAAAAGAAGCCCAGAATCACGAGTGGTTACAGAAAAAAAGAAAAAGAAAATCAAACCACCGTATCTCACAGGGGAAGACGTCTGCTGCATATCCCGGGAACAGGCGGAAAGGGTCTTCAGGCAAACGAAGAACCCGAAGCCCTTAAAAATCCTGAGGAATTTCCGGCACATCAAGGGTGTGGATGTGGAGGTGCCGGAGAATTTAATAAAAGGCCCAAAATCAGCTAACCGGCGTAAGAACTGGCCAGGATACGCGGGAGATTTGGGGCATGATAGAGGAGGCAAAGTCGTCCTTGAAAGTGGTGCCCCCAGCTGTAGTCTTTCTTGAAGAAAACCTTGATGAAACAAAGAAATGTAAAGGGAGGGTCCCTATTTTTGTTCACCCATCCCTTTATAGAGCCCTTAAGCTAACTTATCCTGCGGACATCGGCGGCTTGTCCCAGGATGACACGCTCGATATTGAGATGATGTCTGGTTCGATGGGACAGGCTGTCGGTGTCCTCACCCCAGCCATGTTCTATCCTGAAGGGCAACCCTAATCGGCTTCACAATGGCTCTCTGGTTAGCTAGTTTGAATGTCCGGGGCCTGAGGTCCGAGTCTCGCAGGGTGAGGCTCATTCGTGACATTCAGTGCCTCGGGGTGAATGTATGTTGTTTACAAGAGACCCGGTTTTCTTCTCATGATCGTGAGGACATACTGTCTAGGGGGTTCGCCATTTATTCAGCATGTTTTGATGGTCGTTCGAGGGGTGTCTCTTGGCTAGTGAGCAGGTCTTTGAAGGCTGCATGTACCCTTGTCTTCGCGGATCCGGCGGGCAGGCTTTGCGTGCTGGATGTTACCATAAAGGATAAGGTTCTTCGCCTCATTAGGGTTTATGCACCCAATACCCATTCCGAGCGCCAGCTTTGTTTTTGGCAGATCGCGCCGTTTTGACGACACTCATCGGGTTGTTTTAGCGGGGATTGAATGCCGTCCTTGACCCCGATATAGATCGTATAGGGCAAAAACAAGGTACTAACAACCCGGATGTGAAACCATTTCGGGACTTTATCGATGGGTTTGATCTCGTCGATAAGTTCCGGAATGAACACCCTCGGGAGGTAGCATGGACTTGGACAATTAGTGGCAACTCAGCTCTTGGGTCGCTTGCGAGCTACCTGGACCGAGTGTTAGTTAGGAGAGTCGATGTAGGGCTCTTAGGGTGTCCAAGTTTCCATTATATAGTTTATACGGATCATAGGCTGGTCCGGGTCCGTGTAAACTTAGATAAGTTTGTTGTTAGATTGGCTGGGTACTGGAAATTGAACTGTTCACTTTTTGGTGATCAGGGTTTCCAGGACCAGCTGTTACTAACGATCCAAAGGGAATTGACGGGGGAGGTTGTGGGAAATGCCTGGTGGGGCAATTGAAAATCTAAAATTCGAACGTTTGCTGCCGATTTTAGTCGTTGACTCAATCTAGATAGATTAGTGGCGCAAACTGCTTTAGACGCAAGACGGCAGTGAAAATCCCGTGTTAGTGGGGATATAGCCTTAGCTAAGGCAGAGTTGTCCTCCTTGCTTATCAAGAAGGATCAAGCTCTGGTAGTTAGGGCTAGGTTAAAAAGAATGTCTTCTGAGGCTACGAATATGGCCGCTGAACTGCGTGCAGAGGAGAATCGGAACGCGCGCCTCAGCGACATATAGCGCAAGCGTCACATTACCAGATAAGCGGACAGTGACTACAAACACGGGCATATGTGAGGTCTTTCGATTACTTTCAGGATCTTTTCACCAGGGAGCCCGGTCTGAGCTCTGCTCAGTTCGACGCCTATTTAGTTGACTTTCCCTGCCTTCGCAGCTGAAGTGGCTAGGTGCGAGGGTCCCATTACAGAGTCGGAGATCTGGGAAGCGCTGAAGCAGGTTGGCCTGGATAAGTCTCCGGGATTA